CTTTACCTGTTCATCTTGAAACATCCCTGTGAAAAAGAGAAGGGTTGCCCCACTGTAGAAACAAGAAGAGGTACGAAAGGTAGAGTGACCCACCACACACCCCCCATGCATGTAGCTCTGTAATCAATGTCATTCTAGGATAGGGCTCACTGAATGATGACAGGGTTGCACTCCTATAGCACTTACCTCCAAAACAGGTAAAGTGACCTGCTCCTGGTCATCTAACCAGTGAGTACAGAGGATCATAATTAACAATCGAAAGTCAGCTGGCGGCATGGATCAGGCCTTAAGAATGCTTGCCTAGCAAGGCCAAGGCCCTCAGTTCAAACCCCAGCCCCACCACAAAGGAAAAATCTACATTTACTTCAAGAGCCTTCCTTTTGAATATTCCCACTCACAGATGTACCTTAAAACCAGGACCTTGAGAAGTATATCAAAGTCCCTAAAATAACCCTCAGAGTGAGGAACACCATGAATGTCACACAGAACACGATGAATTTATATCGTCTTAATAAGGTCTTAGGACACATACAGGATTCATACTGAAGTATATACAATTTTGGTGAATCCCACAATTCTTTTCAAATTTTGATAGCATCTTTTAAATTATTTGCAAGAACTACAGAATTATCCCTCCAAGTGTTTAACAGTCTTAGAAAAACCACAGGTAAGCACATACAAAATGTGTGGGTTTTACCAATTTCCAGACTAGCTGCACACTGTGATCAAACGAACAGTTGCACTTAGCTTTACATATTTCAGACACACTGTGCCAAGAAGTAATTCAGCTCTTTCAGAACAAAACCTAACATATGATTTACTGCAAGAGCTATGAAACATTCTTTTCTCCAAAACGGCTGGAAAACATCTAAGTGCTCTGTGAGACCGCCTTTATTGTACATTCCAAAGGACTAATAAATGAAAACACACTACAGTCATGAACCATGACTGTAAGAATAAATACAATGGACTGAGAAAAATACTGCAAGCCTATTTCACTCCAAATGAATCCCTTTTACTACATACAATAACTCTTAATTCTCAATTCAGGGAGGCGGGGTAGGGAATGGAAGGAATTGTCTTTAAGAAGAATATTGATGACACATGCATTCATCCAAAAGCGATCATCCAGATATTCTGGAATTCAGGAAAAATCCCTCATCACCACTGGCAGCTCTGACAGTAGACCTCTTTTTGCATGTTTTGCATTTTTGCAGAATGCATCTACCACTGCATTCTGACTAAAGATTACTTACTCCATAGCAAAATTCAATCTAAATTATCTATACTTAGATTACAAATAAAGATTTGGGGACTTTTGTTTTCTTCCTCCAGGGAAAGGTGCATGAATGATGACATGTTTCCCATGCAGATCAATTAGCTATCTTTAAATTATAATGTGCAGTAAGTTAAAGTTAAGGAAGCAGGTCAAAAGTAAACCTCCTTTCCTCAGGCCAAATTTACCATTTCTGTGAATTTCTGTAACCCCAAACTGGTTGTTTTAAAAAGAAAAGGAAATTTTAGAAAAACTAGTTTGGCTTCTATCCTCAATCCTTCAAGGGATTGCTTCACCAAGTCTCATTTTCTAGAAGAAAAGAGACAGTTATTTCTGTGCTGTTCAGCATAATGGACCACATGCTTAAATTATTCACCATACATCAACTCTATGCAAATTTATTTAAATTTTGTAATAATTTAATCTGCATACTGGGAGTGTTGGTCCCATGTCATGAAAGCTATAATCTCCAGGATACCACACATGCTTTATCTCTTGCCATGAAAGGCGGCCATTGCAAAACTGCTGGCCGTGGTCCTTCCAGGCACAAAACTAAAACCTGGACGGGGTTTGGACAGAAGAGGAAGCCTAGTCCTGGCTTTCAAGGAAAAACCACAGCACCCCTTCTTACAGTTCTTTGAGATTCCCTAACCTGCGCCAAGGGTTCCCCCATTCAGTCAGTCAAGCCATCTTCTAATGCAGCCACTGGAAATCACTCAATTTTGCCCCCTAAAGGGCATCTGGCCACGTCTGGAGGCTTCACTGCTTGTCTCAACTGCGGTGGGTGAGTGCCAACGGGAGGGAAGCTGCTAAACATTCTACGATGTTCAAGACAGCCCCCCACATACAACCAAGACTAAACCAACCCAAACGGTGACAGTGGAAAAACCCTGCTTTAACAGAATCTGAGTATTTCTGGCCCCACTAACGGAGCCCCCTGCTTTCAGCCGCTCTGCTCTACAAAGATGACTTTTACAGCTCTAGCTAGAAACGTCTACCTTCAAAAGGAGAGAGCCAGAACAGGACACCAAGTCTCTGAATAAGTGCTGTAAGGGGTGAATGAATGCAGAGCAGCCCACGGACCATAAAGCACGGGGCGCACACAAGTTGGAGCCTTGACTGGCAGGTAATGTCCCCGCCACCGGGAAACTCCCTGCAGCTGCCCATTCCCATTGAGTGTGACAACTTCCTCCTCACTGTCTACCCACTTCTCTTCCACTCCCCACTACGGAGTTTTCTAGTGGAAGCCCACAGTTTTAGGGGGTTTTATGGATGTTTTTTTCTACATAGGTATTAAAAATAACATCAGAAGTCATGAAAATAGTGAATAACCTAAGGTGCTTTCCATTCTGGAAACTGATTTAGCAGGACCTAAAAGGTTTGTAAAGCGGTTCCTTTGGAACTTGAAGAGAGATAAGCAGCTTACAGAACAGTCCCATGAATAAATAAGCATCAAAAGAAAATTCATGCAGATATCTGAATAGAACTGTACAGATCACACCTGAGAAAAGACAGGGAGATGAAGCCATTACTGCTTAGAACTGTATCTGAAAAAAAATGTGTATTCAGAGACTAAAAGCAGAATTTATTACACATATTTTACAAGATTGTAGAACTTCTAAATTCCTAACAGAAAAAAAAGCCTACAAATTTTATTAAGAAGAAAACCTCAGAAACCTAACAGATCAATCTGCAATTGATTGATAAATTATGACTCATCCACTATTAGACAGCCATTAACTATCACATTAAGAACAGTTAATGCCATGGATACAGGCTCTCATGTCCTAAGCAAAGACAGGTTACAATCAATATACACTATATAATTTCAACCCTCTATAAAATACAAATACATGGAAGTGAAAACATTCTATAAACAAACATGTGAGTAAAGAACTACACACATTAGCTAGCCTCGCAAGCATGAGGCCCTGAGTTCAAGCCTCAGTTCACCAAATAAATAAATAAATAAAAGAAACACACAGGTACACTAGGAGAGACAGATTTGGCAAGATGTTTACAACGGTTATCTGAAAAGGGAAAATTTTATTCCTTCTTTGTGCTTTTGTTTTTCTATCTTCCAACTGTTCTACAGTGAGAATATTTTGTTATGTTTTATACTTCCAAAACTAATAAATTATTACAAGTAGGCCCTATTATTTCAAGCACTGTGTATGAAATAAGAACAAACCTGAATGAATGGACCAGGAGAAACCATCTTCCACAAAAGCAAACATTTATTGCACATTCACATGTTGTACTTAGCACTTCCCGAAGTATCTTAAATGTACTAACTCGCTTAGATCAAACCAAAGATGAGGGGGGGATGAAATGAGCCCTGAATTTAGACCATGCATAGGAGCACTGGCTCAGAAAATGAATGCCCATTTCTGTCTCTTAAGCTTGAAATGAAGGGATTTAATAAAAAGGATCTTTAAAGTTCTCAAGGCTAACCCAAGATGTCACATGGAAAAGGATTGGGCCAAGGTAAAGTGTTTGGAAGAAAGCCTCGCGTGACAAGGCAGCTGGATGCTATCTCAAAACCAGAGAGACCTGCTTACTAAAAAATAAATAAGCAAAAACCACTATTATGTCTATCATTTCCTCCTCTTTAATATCTGTACCCACATGTTACAAGGGGTGGGGAAGATTGCATGTTGTAATACAAACACGGACACAGCTGATCAAAATGACATGAAGCCTGTGTTACTGTAGGTAGAAGAGCCACTGAAAGGTTTGTCGTGTTCACTTTCAACAATAAACCTGAACAAAACAAAACCCTGACGATATATTTTAGTCGTGTTTGGGGGGCAATCACTGTTCCTGGGACATTTCAAGTCTGATTAAATGGCTCTAAGGACAAGTTACTGAGATCCAGCAAAAGGCGACCCACGTCTCGGATACACCCCAAACCTCAATACAACATTAACTGCAGGGCGAAGGGTGCCAGGAATCCCATTTTCTCGGGGGAAATTCCAGCTGCGTAGTAGTTCGGGGAATTGGGGTTTCCCGGTTAGTGGGGGGATGTCCCCAAGGGCCCCAGCCTGACACAAGGGTCCCGGCTGGCTGGTCAGCGGCTCACGCGTGGGTCGGGGGAAACGCAGAGGGTTGGGGAACAACTGATCTGTTGGGTTGACTTCGTGTCTCACGGCCACCCTAAGAAGCAGGTGGCTTCAGCGACAAAACCTATCCTATACAGAGGGGTGCATGTCTGTCACACGCACGCACACGCACACCAGTGGGTCTACCGGAAACAATTTCCAGGCTCCGACCACACAAAAACTATTCAGAAAACACAAAGACGCAAGACACGAAACAAACTAAGGAGCAGGTGCGCAAGACACCCTCACTTGTCACACAAAAGGGAGGAGCGCAGCGACTTGACAATCGGGACGGCCCCGGAGCCCACGTGGGGTCCCCGGTGGCCCCGCAGCCGTGCGCACTCGGCCCGCCGCACCGCCACAAAGCGAACCCCAAACTTCGCCGCGGGGACCCCAAGGCCGGTGGGAAGGACCCGCCCTCGCCGCGGGGCCACCGGCTCCGGCTCAGGGGCCCAAGCCTCTCTCCGGGGTCCCCGTCCGCCCGTCGCGCCCGAGACCTCGAGGGGGGCGCGTCGCCGGCCCGGCCGGCCCTGTCCCCTCCTGCCCGGCCGTCGCCGTCGCCACGTTTCTCCCCCGCACGGACCGAAGTCCCGACCCCGAGGCCGCCCGCCCCGCACCCTTACCAGCGCCAGCACCTCAGCGCGCCGAGAGCCGCCGCCGCCTCCGCTCCACCCGCTCCGGCGCCCGCGGCCGCGCCGCCGCCATCTTGGCTCCGGTCGGAAGTGACGTCGAGCGGCGGCGCGGTCCCCGCGACCCCGGCCTGCGACCCCGCGCCCTGCCCGACGCCACCGCGCGCGGCGGCCCCCACGGGCGGTGCGGGTCCTGCTGTCCCTGTCGCCCGGTACCGCCGACCCTAGGGCGGAAACTCGGAGAGGCGCTCCCGGGCCGGGCCGTGACCCACCCAGAGCTGTGGTCCTGCGGCTCAGAGTCACAAAGAATTCACGGCGTTACAGCGGGCGTGGGCAGAGGGAGGGACAGGGTCCGTCGGGAGGGTAGCAGGCCGGCGTAGCCTCCCCGAAGCCGATGAGCCTCCAGGAAGGCACGTGCAGCCCGGTGGCTTTGTTGGAGCATTTGCCTGCTGCCCACGTGGCCTCGCCCTGTTCCAGGGGTGAGCATCGACCTTGACCTTGACCTCGTGAAATGCGCTATTTACAGAGCCAGCAGATAGACCATCTGCACAACCCTGACGACGACGAGGGGACGTGAACTAGGTTGAACTGGAGATGGCTCCTAGACATCCGAGGAGAGGTGGACGTTGGGAGTTGTCCCTTGTAGATGTGTCTGAAGCCATGAGCACAAGATAAAGTTATTGAAGTCAAGAGAAATCTAAATGGAGTAGGTGCAAGGGTGCCTCGTAAACTTTGGAAAGATTGGAGGAGCTTATTTACGTAGGAGGGTTTCATCTAAGAAAACGTGTGGCACCAGCATAGATTGTGTTAGAATCTTACTGTAGCTGGGCACTGGTGGCTCACTCCTGTAATCCCAGCTACTAAGGAAGCAGAGACCAGGATGATCGCGGTTCAAAGCCAGCCTGAGCAAATAATTCGAGAGACCTTATGTTGAAAAAACCATCACAAAAAAGGGCAGGTGGAGTGGCTCAAGGTGAAGGTCCTGAGTTCAAACTGCACTGCAAAAAAAAAAAAAAAAAACTTACTGTAAAAGGCTCACACTGTTGCTGATGACCTGCCAAACAAATGAAAATAACTTCATCAGTAAATGTTACCAAGGCTTTAAAATATGACATGGTCAGCACAAAGCCTAAGAAAACAGCAAATCAAACCTGGAAAGTTTACTTCTTCAGCTATTCAAGGAAAGGAGTGTACATCTGGGAAATACTGGCAAACATATCTGTAAAGTAGAATGCTGTCGTGACATCTGTGAAGTAGGCTGCCATCAGACTTGCATCCTTTACCTAGATTAATGCCTTTCAGCTTGATCCCTGCGTCAAAATCGCCTGAAGAATCAACCAAGAACAAAAAAAGAGACCCCACCATTCTATCCACCACCAAAAAGCACTGACACACAAATTGACATTTTTCAAAGAAAAACTATATGTCACCTAGCATTCAATAGACTGCAAAACAAAATAGAAGAATGTCAAGTTAGAGGTGACATGGTGAGCCAAAATATAAACAAGACAACATCATGCAAGAAGAGGTTGACACCAGTCAGTGACTGTGCTTCCTGTTGCTAATCTGAAATGACTCCATGGATTTGTTTCCTGGGGCTGCTATTACATATTTGATGGCTAAAGACAACAGAAAGTTATTCACTTACATTGTGGACCCTGGAAGTCCAAAATCTGTATCAGTGGGCTAAAATCAAGGTGTGAGCAGGGCCACGCTCCCTCTGGAGGTTCTGGAGAAATTTGTTCCTTCTGGATTCCAGCTTCTGGTGGCTGCCAGCATGCCTTGGTTTGTGGCCACACCACTCCAGTTTTCAAGATGAGAATCTTCCAGTCTCTCTGTTCCATGTTTACATCGCCTTCCCTGTGTCAATTTTCCCTCTGCCCTCCCTGTCATTGCATTTAGAACTCACCGAGATAATCCAGGATAATCTCACATTTAAAAAACCCTTTCCATCTGAGGTGACATTTGAAAAGCCAGAGGATCCAGATGTGGTTATATGTCTGGGAACCATCACTTGCCTGCTACACTGACTGAGGTGCCCCTCTGCATTCATCAGCTATCATGTATAGTTCATCTGTGTATTTTGCTTGAACGTATTTCTGTTGTTCAACCTGTGTGACTTCTCAGGGTGAATAATTATACTCTTTATATTTTATCTATTTAATCCAAAAAAGTCAAAGAACTGTCAAGAACGCAATGTAATTTGATGGGTGATTGTTATCTTGTGGTATGCTTAATACTACTTTCATGTCTTTAAAATGGTGAAGTGTATTGCTGAAGGATGAGGGGAGAATTTGAGACATTTCATAACATGGGCTGTTTCTGTATTAGGGGATGGAAGTAGAAAATGTGCTCTTAGGGGCTGGTGGAGTGGCTCAAGTGGTAGAGCACCTGCCTAGCAAGTATGAAGCCCTGAGTTCAAACTCCAGTACCACTATATATGTATGTGTATTATGTATACATCACACATATATATGTACTCTTTGTCCAAATCTCTAACATGAGTGAAACTCTGGGCTGTAGGTCACCTAGTCCAGCTCTGGTCAGTTTTGTGCCTTAGCAAGGCAGTGCTGTTATAAAGCAGGTGATCATCATTCACCACAGCCTCCCAGGACCCAGAGCAGTGTCTGCTATGTAGCAAACACTAAATAGATACTTTTTAATAGGGAAAAAAAGTCTTCTCACTGGACAAATATGTGTAGACCAGACATTGTAGTTACAAAACAGCATATGGTTGTAATTGGAACCACAGCAACACCTACAAGCATTGTTCCTAAAGATATTAAAGAGTTTACAACCCAGATTAAAGAAATTACGGTACGTTGCCAATGAGCATGTAAGTGGACTTAAAGCTCCCCATGTGAAAACAGTACTTACTCTCTGATGGATCTGTTCTCCATGTTCTGCGTGGGTTACCTCATTTATCGTCATGACAACCCTGAGTGATGGACGCTATTCTCATGTACAGCTCAGGAGACTATGGCCAGGAGGGCTGAAAGAACTCACCTCTCTAGGACAAGGCTTTGAACTTGACAGTTCAGCTCCCTAGTAAGTAACCCTAAGCAAGCCCCTCACCCTTGGCACTCACAGAGGTGAGTTTGTCACACACCTGAGGGCTGGTTCAGGAGCCAGGATAGGCAACTGTGCTATATACACGCTCTCAACTGGTCATTCCTCCTCTGAGGTACTCGATACTCAGAGTAGGTTTTACAAAATATTTTTTAATATCTACATAAAGATGCCATTCTAAATACCCTGGGTTGTCAAGCAAGAATATCTTTTAAAAGATCTTAGGATGGCCAAAGGAAGAGGACCCAGTGTCTCAGAGAGATGGCATCAAATGAACTCACCTTTTTTTCAGGTAACATGAGATTTTTTTTTTTTTAAACTGAGTCACTTTTCACTTAACCTTTTTTTTTTCCTGACAGTACTGAGGATTGAATTCACTCTACCACTTAAGGCATGCCCCCCAGGCCTCAAGGCCCCTTTTCTCATGACTAAATCTTTTTCAACAAGATCCAGCATCTCTCTAGGTTTAATCACCTCCCTGTTTTCACCTCCCCATCCCTATGCCACCTTCCCACCCACCATCTCTGTGCCATGTCACATACTCAAGCAAGGACTGACATCTGAGCAATCACACAAACAATCAAAAGATGTGAAACTTGTACTCTGGGCTCTGAGTAGATAGGAACAAATAAAGTTAAAAGACAGAAACTCTGGAGATGGAAGAAACATCATATTATGTCAGAGTCACTCTGGGCTGCGGGAGGTCATCTTACTGAGCACGTAGCCTGTATCAGATACTATGTCCTTGTATCATCGGCTCAACAGCCACAGATGAAGACATGGAAGCTGAGAATGCTGAGAGACTCCGCTGGTCACAGAGGCAGAGTCGAGGACTCTGTGATGTGTCTACTGTTCACACTGCATCTAGCCACCAAGATGCTCTCAGCCACTGGGGACAAACATGTGGCCCCTGTGCTGGGAGAACGCAGGGTCCAATAGAAGAGACTGAATTTGTAAAAGCAGTGTAGAGCAGAGTAGGCAGGAACAGCACCCTCGTGTTCCCAACACACTCTGCACACACTTCTTTTTAAAAAAAAAAAAAAAAGTATTTTTAAAAAGAAGAGAAGACCAAATCCCAAATGCCAAAATTTCTAACCAAATCCACAGCCCCAAGATAACTTAATTCCATTCTATAAGAAAACCCAGAACACTGATTCTAGACTTTTCCACTGCAATGCTTATGTCACATTTTTTTTTAGAAGCAAGCATGTTAATAAATCAGTTAAAAGGCCCAGCCCTTCCCACACACGTGTCCCTAAGTAGCAGCGTTGGCTGCTTGCTCAGAAGTGCCAGTGTGACAAGCTCAAAGGCCCATGCAGTTTGTTCCATTGAACACAAAAGGAAGTTTCAGCCTCTATCTTCCTCGAAGGCAGAATTAATTCACTAACACATCACCATGAGGGCATGAATAAAACATACAAGTGGGCAACAAAGACATAAAGTGAGAATATTTTCAGCAGAAAATGGCAGCTGCGTGAGAAGGAATGGAAGATAAATCAGGTGCAGAAATACGCAGGCTGCTCCATGGTGGGGACACCAGAGCCAGGATTGCTTCTCAGATTAGAAGCTGCTGCATGTCACTTTTGAGGAGGGGCTACAGATGGGATGACCCATCCACCCACCCAGTCACTTCTTACTCGTCCCTTTTGTTGCACAGGAGCCCTGCTTTTCTGCAAAGATGCTGTTTTCAGAATCCACATTCTTGAAATGTGTGGTCACTTTTCTTCACCTTGGTTTGTTTGGTTTTTTTGTTTTTGTTTTTTTTGCCTGGGATTGGCTCATCACCCCTTCTGTCCTGTGTTTGCATTTGCTTTTATAGAGGCCAGCTTTGGGATGTACTATTTTCCTGGGGCTGCCATAACAAAATACAGTATCACAAACTTTTTGGTTTAAAACAATAGAAATTTAGCTGGCAGAGTGGCTCAAGAGGTAAGAGCACCTACCTAGCAAGTGTGAGGCCTTGACTTTAAACCCCAGTGCTGCCAAAAAATAAATAAAAATACTTATAAAACAATAGAAATGTATTCTCTCACAGTGCGGCAGGGGCAGCAAGGGCTCTGGGGAGAATCTGCCTCCCGCTCAACTTCAGGTGTTGGCCTTGGCATTGGTGGAC